AACGAGGCAGATCTGTGAGAAGAAATGTAAAGGTCGGAAGGTCGAGATCTTGTGGAGAGGGAGTGGACTGAGGACTTGAATTGGAGAAGGTTGTAGGCGTAGGAAGGACGATGATTGTTGATGATATGATAGAGGAAGGAGGAATCTTTTACGATGCTCTATTAAGAAAATTCATTTAAATCGTACCAGAAAACATTGAATTCAGCATCTTTGATTCAGTTTGAACAACTGAAACAGAAACAAATATGTAAAAGCGAGACTAGCGCTAATCCAAATTTCATTTGCTTTCTCTTAAAAAACCCGACAGGAAATAAATCAGTTACAGAGGGACACAAACACTAGTCCAGTGACCTCAAAATAAACACCCCGCTTACACGCTCGTGTTCTCCGTAATTTGTGAAATGTTTAAACGCCGCTTAAAACCATCAAACTCAAGACTCTTTCTGCCAAGATATTTTTTTTCGGAGAGGGGGTTAATCCTTTTGTTTTTCCTCATTTCAGATGTTATTCATTTGAACATCTTCCCATGATTGTGTTTTCTTATGTATGTTATATAAACATAAAATTTAATGCATATGGAACTACGAGAGACATATAATGAAAAAAGAAATTTTGTATTAAACGAACGAAAAACTGCGAGATAAACGAAACAGAAAAATGTTAATGAAAATTAAAAGGTAAAAGTGTTAACCCTTAGGAGCAGTTAGCGGTCATTGTTTGTGTTTATGAAAACAAGCAAAAAGGTTATCGAAGAAATTTATTTACCATATCATGATGGCATATTTACTGCGCTTTGATGGATAGGTTGATTGGAAGGGGAGTAGTGGTTATATAGAAGTAGCGCTTGGGAAATTCATAGGATCAAGCAGATGTGACGCAAGGCTTGACACGATAAGATTGCCCTATCGCTGCTGTTATTAAATATTCAATTAACTATTTAAAGATTTTTTCAGAAGCAAACCTGATTTTCTTTTAATATATAAATATATATAAAGTAGCTAGATATTAATTAATTTTGATTCCGGCTCGCTATTTTAGATAACTTACATTAACATTTTACAATCTGCTTTTGAATTGTTTTGGTCTTAATCCAGACAAAAAAATGAGGTAATAATACAAAAGGTTAGCTTTTACTTGAGAACAAAGTTGAAAGAAGGAGTCTCAAATTAAGTTCCTGGCAAAAATCCTAGTTTCGGCCCTGCAAGCAGTTTTTATCTTATTCAGTTTTTTTGGACAACTCGCGTTTTTCTTAACTGGTCCTCGTACGGCCTTCGGAATAGTTATATTATGTGGACTTTTTTTTTTTCAACATCTTGCTAATGGAACAATCCATGAATCCATAGTGAAACAGGATATTCTGCATTCTCCAACGGTCTGATTTACCCTCATACGCCGGTTATTAGTATTTTGAGGATTTATTGAGCTCAGAAAGCACCTGTCAAATAAATGCGACTATCCAATAAGTTCACACTATTTTTGTTAAGAAATTAAATTTTATAATCGAGTCAATAGACAACTTCGGTATCCCTCTCCCTCACTTTTAAGACATTTCAAACTATTTAATGGACTCTAACTTCAATGGGCTCCAATGATCCATAATCCTGAACGGATGTTTGACTAAATTACTCCTCATATTTACATACTGCCATGTTTTCTTAAAAATTAGAAGCTTTTACTCGCCTTCCAAGCTCTTTTTTTTTTTGTGTGTGTCTGACAATATAATATTTATAGACCCCGCCGACGTCCGCCGCCAAAGCCTCTCACAGGTGAACAGGTAACCTCTGGTTCGCACCGATGTCTTCGTCTTTATATTATATAGCGTACACCCTGTCTTCAAAAAACTTTACACCGTTTTACGTAATACATATTTTATAGCACACGTCAACATAGCTGGCTGAAAATTCGTTATAACTCTTCCACCCTTTTAAAACATTATAAAAACATCTCCAATCGAAGCCATGGATACTTGTTATAATTTATTAATATATAATCAATTGTTATAATTAGCAAAACGAAATATATTTGTTATGTGTTCTGATGAAATGTGTTACACTATTTGTCATGGGGTTAGAATCGTATTATCAGCTATTAAAATTATTATCATTTATATTCAATAAAATATCCATTTAAACAATGGATCCTATACTTACAAGAGATCATAATTAATTCTGAAACCAGATTTTATCAAATAAAGTTCCAAAATTACTTATATAGATATCAATATATTTCATGAATAGACATTAGATTTATCATTACCCATTTTAAATCTCTTAATATTCTTTTCTTCAACACAATTTATTATTTGTATGATTGGAGTACAGAAAACTAAAACTGTTCATAAAGTTGCATGTCTTGTTACAATGTTTTATTTATTCAATTTTTAAAGGAAATATAGAACAATTTTTTTTTTTTAATTATTTCGTTTTGAATATAGGTTGTAAGGCAGTGAAATATTAACAGTATGAACATATAATAATTTTTTACTAATAAAAACATATTACAATAAAACTTACTCCACCATTATTATTTATTATTCAAAGAAAAAACTACCATAAAATGGGGCAGTTTACTGCTTAGGTGGTTACATTACTCTGAAATGAGAATAACCTCTTTCATGATACGGGCAAAAACTAATGGAGCGACAGAATTGGGAATGGCTTCTCTATGAAACTAGAAGTTTGTTCTTAATGAAACGCAAAGTTGTTGCTTGCAGTTAGAAACAAAGAAGTGATTCTAGTTTTAGAGTAATTTTGTCGTGTAAAGGTGTAAAGTTCCACTGTTTTACAGAACCTTGTTCTTAATCAAGATAAAATTTTGCAATTTTTTGGACACATAGGATCGATTCTTCAATTTTAATAGATTAAGATTAGAAAATTATCATCTGAAAACTTTTTTACTACATAAAACTAACAAATAAATTAGGGTTCAGTCAGATTAAAAACAAGAATATAGGCGAAGGAAAAAAAAAAATAATAATAACATAATTCAAAACAAAACAGAAAAAAATCAAAAATTTATAACACAATTTTTCAAAGGAAAATAATAATGAAAACATTTAAAAAATAAATAAATAAAGTAATATACTACAAAATGCCTCACACACTGGGCTGGGATTGACAGATAAAATTAAGACAAGAAAATATTTAAAAATATCACCACTAACAAATCAAATGAGGATTATATAATAATGGTAAAAAATTAGGTAACTAAGCAACATGAAGGATAGAATAGATAAATTAGATAAAGAAATTCAATATATTAAACAGAGTGCCAAAATTATCAAAAAATGTACATTGGAGAAACAATTAAAAAAAAAAAAAATGAAAACAAGAGTTGCACAACACATGTACATCTGCGAAAACATTAAAAATATCAACAGCACAGCATTAGCGCAACACAACTTCAATTTTAGCAAGCCAAAAATAATAGATATCAAATTTAAAAAAAATAATATTAACAGAAAACTATTAGAGGGCATACACATAACCCAAAATAACAATAAATCACAAACCGACACCAAAAACCTGGGCATACATTATTCATACATAATAAACAAAATTAACATATAACAAAAATAATAACAAATCACAAATAACAGCCAAATAGTCTATAAAGAGAGAGGGTAGGTACAAAAGTACAAATCATTCTCAAATGTAACCAGCTAAATAATAAAATGTTGGAATAACTCTTGAAAATTTATAATTACAGAGAATATCTAATAAATTTTATATATTTAGAAAAGGAGTAATAGAAAAAAAAAGATAATTTTACAAACCAGCAAATATAGCAAAAGAAGAAAAAAATATATATATCAATAATTAGTATTTAAATGTTAGAAACTCACCAGCAACTTTTCTGATGGGAAGAGCATTTTCTGAAACATCAAACAAATGTAATAAATAAAACAATACACTACAAGAAGTTATATTTGCCAGCTACACCAGTAGCTTAAGATTATTTAGACAAAATGCAATAATTAAAATCTGGCTTGGAATTTAATTGACAAAACTTTCTTTATCAATCCCAAATGCAAACTAATTATGACTTAAAAAGAGAAGTTTGATTTCACATTTAAAAAGTTTTGTTTCCTAATACCAATGGTTCTTAGATAGCATCCTTCCAGCCTCGATATTTCTCCTTTTCTCGTCTCATTGATGTCCCTAGATTTTTGGGAATTTTGTCCTTCATCCTTTACACAAAGCCAAATTATCTTATTTCTCCTTTTTAATTATGGAAATAATACCAGGATACTTCTAGAATACTGTTATAACTTCTTAAATTCCTACTTTGTTCTATTTTCTCACAATATTCTTATAAGTACAATAATTGCTTACAATGAAAATTTCTGCTTATGTAATTTTTTATAATTATTATTTTTTTATTTAGAACTCTTCTTATCCCTAAAATGTCACCAATCCATTCAATGATGAAAACATGAAACAAAAGTTAACCCTGACAATCATCTATATTAAAAAAACAAAAAACAGTAATGAACTTACAAGTCATGGCTTATGGCTTTCATATACTCAATATCAGGAATAATAATTTTGTTTCTAAAATGAATAAGAGTTTGCTAGAATACTCCAACTTTTCAGAACAGCTATTCTAAACTTTGATTACCTCAGGAAATTGACCATTCGAGAGATAAACATGCAATTTCAATCTGATATATATCAACTACTTTTGTTTCTGACATAAATGTTTATAAAAATGTTTGAGTCAACTTTTTAAATCAGTTAACTGATTAATTTAACTCGCAAATATTTTGAAAAAACTATAAATATCAATGGAAATTGTTCTTCAAAAAGTGTAGCATGTATTAGACTTCAATTTGAGTAACAGATAGATATAGAATTCCTAAGAAATGAAGAAATTTTTATAGGCATATTTATATAATTTATAAAAATATATGCACTGTTTTCTGATATTTATAGTTTGATTTAGTTCTTATTTTTTCATAATTTTTTTATATCTTTTTTTAATCTTTTTTAATCTTTCAGGTGGAAGTAGAATCTTCTGTCGACCACCCTTATTTTGTCTATGGGCAAGGATGGGCTTCATGTAGACCGGAACAGACGATGGTCACTTATGGTCTTAAATGTCATCTTCTTCAGGTAATAATTTTTACTTAAAATATCACTCTATAAACTTGGAGATTGATTAAGTAGTAAACAAACTTAGAGGCAACATAAGAGCCTCAGATAGCAAAGGACTGTGAAGGGACTCATATCTTAACCTAAAAATGTTGGTAATTACCGAAAAAGTTCTATAGAACATTTCTTAAATAATCATATAGATTTAAAAACAGAACCCTTATTACTAAATTACTTTCAGTGATCAGATATTGCCATTAATCAATCACTTTTCGGATACCATTTCGGTCAAATTTGGATGGCAGTGATATAAAATCATTTTTCAATTTAATCATTAATGCCTAAATTATTCAATGAAAAAATTTGACTTTTATTTGAAAGAAAAACAATCAAATATAAACATTTCTATAATGTTTATGAAACTATACCCTGTGATATTGACATGCTGTGATTTAATATTTCATCTGCCGGTATCAAAACTGATAATAAGGTTATCTGTTTAGTTACACTTCTTTAAATTGCAGATATTTTGATAAAAATTAGGATTGCTAAAAAGCATTTGCATGATAATAGTATTTTAAATGTTGCATGCACATATATCCAAAGACTGGTCAAATGAACCATGGCTTATATCTAAAACCCTGTAAGCCACTAAAATACTAAAGTCTTGTAAGAAACTATGATTATTCATTTATAATATGCTGTGTTATGTTTTTAATAATGTTTAGAGATAAAAAAAGAAGTCAATATTTTTACATATATATTAAATAATTTAATCTTCACAAACTATTTTTTTATTATATAAGAAATTTATTTTTGTTTAATAGAAATAACTGTTGTTTTTTTTTGGAAAATTTTGTTTTCTGGACTTAAGTACTTTAGAGATAAGCCACCAATATGAGGTTAACTTATCAAAAGTTTAATTGAAAAAACCCAAAAGTAAAAAGATTGGATACTGGTACTTTATGCAGTTACATTTGTAAACGTAAAGCATTTTTTATTAAGAAATACAGCAAGAGATTCAGTTTTTTGTTTTGATTTTTAAAAAGAGGGGGTTCAGTCCTTTTTTTATCTAAATGAAACAGGGTATGCCTTATCAGTTTCTGCCATTATATTACTGTTTTCGGTGAGGAATTAGTTCGGCAAGAGGGTCTTGTGATCCTTTTTGCCAACCTCTGACTGCTATCTTGAGATTGCTGCTGCATACTTACCAGATTGGAAGTGTAAAAATTCATTTCCCGTGACTGTCGAGAAATAAATATTTACCGACCTAGGTGGGAGGGAGTCAAACCCACAAATTTTTTAATGGAGCACTCTGAGACCTACACCCCAAGCTGTTTGGCCATCATATTTTCTGTGCCATGAAATTAATATAAATGTCAATATTTATGATGGTCAGCCAAGAATAATTAATTTTAGTTTAGGAAGTGCCACTACTTATTTTCTCTAGTAGACCTTAATCCTTTAAAAAAAATTATTAACCATCTCTAAGTAAACCTCCTGGTAAATCAGCAACCATACCGAACTGTAGACACTGTAGAGAGTATTAGATTACAGACATTTTATATTTAAAATTGAACTTTGAGCTTCTAACCTAACTTGAAGATTGTAACGTAGCCAAACTACAGTGTAATACTATAGGATGTAAATTATATGGTATAAGTCTCAGACATACATATTTATGAGCCTTTCAGTTGACAGAATGACTTACTTCAATTTCAACATTTTTATTATTAATTTTAGTGATATTTCTAGCGAGAAAGTTTACATCTTTATTCTCAGTTCTATATTTCAACACTGCCATCAACTATGCCGGAATCAACTTACTCACTGTCAGTTACAGGGTTTTTTCACATGTTTGCACATTTCACATAAGTTCCTGACACAGGAGTGCATCAAACCTCAACCTTATTCACTATCTTTACGGTAATTACAAATTTTCAACTAAAAATATCACTTCAACTAAAATGACATTACTCAAAAATTTTGAAATTGGAGTTAGTCATTCTGTCAACTGAAAGAAATATATGATGACTGCTAAGAGAAAATAATTTCATTGGCTAAAAAAAGAATCAGTGCCATTTCAATCCATGAAAGTAAATTAAGTTTGTATACTCTGTAAGGAAGTACTGTTTCTAAACCTGAGGTAATGCAAGAAGATAATTAGGTCAGATCACACTCAACCCCAGGTTTTCCATCAATTAACAGTATGAAATCTATAGAGATTGGGTGTTTATAGGAAGATCTCTTTTCCTTATAGTCGATCCACAGCTGATTAAAAAGAAAAAATAATATCAGTTACTACTTAATTCTAACTTCTTCCGGGAGAAAAGAGTACCTTTACTCCACAACAAAAAAAAAAGTTTTATTTTAGGACAAAATATTTCATTGAAGCAGTATTCATAATATAAAAGCCAACTAACTCTTATTATTCTTACTTCTCATATAAAAAGAATTTACAATAAATCTCTTGGTAATTGGTTAGATGAGGACCACACGTATTACGCGTGGTTCACAATCACTTCGGTCAAACTTGTTCATGAAACGCCGAAAACAGTTTTTTGAATAAACCCAGATGCATTCAGCACTCCATGAATAAGTGTGACCGAAGTGATCGTGAACCACGCGTAACTTGTGTGGTCATCGTCTAAATAATTACCGATCTTTCTGCAAATATAGTTAGCACCCTTTTGAAAAAAAATATGATTTATTTTTTTGAGAAATGATGTATCAGCATCTTACATTGAGATTATTTCAATTTCCTTAACGAAATAGACTTTAAACCTGATTATTTGTTCAAAATTCAACAATATTCTAAATATTATATCCCTGTAAATAAAACTTGAAAGCATACCAGGAATCCTTTATTTAATGTTTTAGAATTGTGTATGTATACATACAGTTTATCCATTTATTAATTCATACTATCCAAATACATAATAATTGAAGTCCAATAAGGAGGAATTTAGTTTTTCAGGATAAACTCAGCCTAAAGACAAGAAAACAAAAATCTATAAAAATGATTAAGTTAACTCACCATAGTGATGTAGAAAAACAAAAGCTGCTTCCTGTGAAGTAAAACAATTAGATCACTTTAACTCACTGAAACTTCACTTTTCCACAAACCAATAGTTGCTTGAAATTAATTGAATTTTTTATACCAGCAAATACCGCCAATTGCCTACTGAAAAATCTTCTATGTAAAGGGATTATTTTCGCCAATTATAATTTAAATACATATCCTCGTCAGAAATATAAAAATATTTTTTTTTATAGATTATGGACTTAAAAGATTTTTAAAAATTATAATGCATACATACTTTTATTTCTAAAATAATAACAATAACGTCTAGATGTTAGTTATTACATAATCATAAATAATTGAAACTTTAAAATTAATTATAAATTTAATAAGGTTTTTATGTGATATACTTTATATTTTGTTTTTATTAAATAGATGACAAAAGTATCCGCTCTCTGAGTCGTCTTACGATAAAATGGCGGGATTTCAACGTATTCAAATATGAAATGGAATAAAAATAGTGAAAATGATTTTAATTGCATTGCTAGGAACAAATGATTATTATAATATAATAATGCTTCCATTAATTATTATAATTACTTTTTAGTTTTATATGATCATTTATAAAATGAAAGGTTATCTTGATTATTTTCGTTATTCAACAAATAGTTTTAACATAAATCATAATTTGTTCAAAATATATATTTTTTTCTTTTAGAATAAAAGTTCATTTTATAAACTGGCATTTCACTAACTTTTTAATTTATAAATAATTGATATTTCATAGATATGCTTTCATTGTTCTTGTAGGTAGTGTTCTAAACATTCTTTATAATTTATCATTTATTCTTTATCTCTGTAGGTTAGGATAGTTTGCCAAAACGTTGTATGGTTAATTATTAAATGCTATTTGAGATACTCGAGGCTATGGAATCTTCCAATTATAATTTTTGATCAATGAAATTTGTTGAAATATCCAAGTTTTATTTACTATTTATAAATTTCACTAATCAATTTAGCACCATTATCATTTTCTAAACTTAATGATATGTTTCAGGTAGGAGATGTATGCATATCACTATCTCCACGCCCTCCAGGTAGTGACAGAAAGAGAAGATGGTCTGCACCAGACCAACTTCCTGACCCAGAACAACCAGCAGATCTCCATAAACCAAGAACCCAAGCCGCATCACCCTAGCAGCTCTGTTAATTAAGAAAGCATGATTGTTACATCTGATATACATTTATTTACCTCAATTTTAAAAGACTCCATTCAATAAATATATTTAAATATTTATTGTAATTTTGTACACACATAAATTAATTATTTACATTTGTATATTCTACTACAATTCTAAGATCACAGTTTAATAAAACTTTTTATGTATCGAAACTGTAAGGTGCTGTTTCGAAACAGCTAAAATCATTAAATGTGATATAAAAGCTATCAGTTACAACTACCTCTTCATGAATCCTGATTTAAAAGTTTTGTATATAATTATATTATTGAACCATTCCAATTGGTTATTGTCCTCTCCAAATTAAAAATATATTTAAAGTTTATGTATGCATTTATAATAAAACTGTTTAAATCATTGTTAGCTTAGAATAGATGTAACATTTTGCTTTTTACATTGGGTATTTATTACCACACAGAGAATTAGGACTTGAAACATCAGAAATGTTTCAAGCTAATGTAAAGTTGTAATCTAGATTTCTGTAACCATATTCATATATGAAATTAAAAGTTGTTGATTGTCTTGTCATATAAGCTCAAATGGTGTGCTATTGTTTAGTGTTAAGTGTTTCAGCCATGTTTATTTTAAGATTTATACAAAAGTAAATATCTTATTTTGTTCTTTAATTGAATTGACTCACTGTGTAAATACACAATTATTTCTATTGTCGACACCGACAAATGCATCTCTCCACTCAGCTTTCTTAAATTACAAATTATTAATTTGTTCTCATATTGTTTGAAAATCTCAAATTTGCAATGTCAATCTGTAAAAATATACTATAATTTATAAATAAATGAAAAATCGATTCTTTTTTTGAAAAGAAAAGATTTTCAGTTATCAAATATTTCAAGAAAGTTGAACAATAGTTTCAGATTTGTTCAGTGATGAATAGTTTATTAAAACAAAAATTAGATAAATGATCTCATAAAATCAATTATGTGAGAAAAAATAATTGCCATAATATACCAAATAGAAAAAATGGAAAAAATTAGTGGATGGTTAGAATGAAATGATACCCCTTGATTAACAACTCGTAATTATGAATGTATTCGCAAAGTGGACAAGTACTTCCACTTTAATACTAGATTGTGAGGAGTGTTTGATATTTATGTTTAAAATTTTATACATAAAATTTTATTGACTGTTTTTTAAGAGATCTCTTTTAGTGAAGTTGACTGGTGTGTTGTCTTTTTTAATTTTTTTTTTGTACTGTATTTTTCATACACTGGGAAAATTGTGTTAAAATTAATATTTGTCTAATATAACATTAACATAATAATTAATAAAAAAAAAATGTTTATTTTATCATGTAATAAACAGAACAATCATTAGTGGAAAATAGTTGTGATAAAAATTATCAAGATTTTTTTTGGTGGGAAGGAGGGAGGAGAAGATGAAATATTTAAATACCTCCCGAAATCAGTGATAAATCTTTTTAAAAATATATTCTATTATGCGCTCTTATATTTAGCAAAGTCATAGTTTTGTTGATATGTAAATAAAGGACATTCCTTAGCTTGCAGGAATTATTCAATTTATTTTAAAATATGTGTTGAATCCTTCTATTCTGACAGTGTTTAATGGATATTGCAAAATTAAAATCATTAGTTACAATGTAGTATTCAATATTAACTATTGATTCTAGAAATTGTGAAATTCTTGAGAGAAAAAGTAATAATAAACTGCTATATGAATATAATGAGATTTTAATTTAATAGCACAGAAAACACCAATTTGAAATGAGTATTTTACTAGATTTTCTATAAAACTGTCAGTTTTAGAACAAAAAAATCCTCTTTTAAAGTTGTTGTTCAAATAATCTAAGAAGGAAAAAACTATTTGATTCCACCAAACATTTTGGAATGTCCTACCTACATTACTATTTGCCTCGATAGGTTAATGTTAATTTTAGTTTCTATTTTATTTAATTATTTTACATGTTAAAGTTTCAAAAACTGTGAATGAAAAAAAAAATCATTAGTTAATCTTAGTTACTGCTAAGATTCACATTGTAAAAATTGTAAATAAATGTTGAATGATATACTCCTAAAAGATAGCTGAAAATTTATCTTCATAAATATGTTTTAATTTTAATGTATCTATTTCTATTTTATAATATTATTTTGTAATGACTTTTGTACATTTCGAAGACCTATTTACAATTTCTCTCATTGTTTTAATGGAACACTTCTGTCTTTCATACTACTTTGTTCGAGTGGTTATTATCTTTTTCATGTATTTTATTAATATTTTTTGGGTATTTGTGCAATCTATTAAAGAGTTTGTATTATTCCTTTTACTAAGATATATATTTATCTTTGTATTTATATTTTATAATGAGATGTGCCTATGCTAATGGAGTTATGACTTATTTCAAAAGAATGAATGTTAAGATTAAGTGTTAGATTTATATTCCGAAGATGTCTTCAAAATGAATCATGATATGAAATAAACATAATTTCATTTGTATAGAATGAAATTAAAATGATATATTATTGTAATAGAGCATATTTTTATGGCCAATGTTAATGTAAATATTTATATAAGAATCTTTTTACTAAATTAAAACCTAATCTCTTCTCTAATGTATTATATGTATGTAATTTCACAAAATTCTTGGTAATGATGATGAAATGAGTGATTAATGAAATTAAAACATTAACTAATTAGTTTAAATATTATGCTCATTATTTTATAGCACTTACACTGTTGTCCTTAATAAATTACTGAAAATTCTCTGATAAAAATATTGAAGTAATAATTAAGTTTATATGAACATTGTAGGTATCCATCATTAATGACAGTGCTTAATAATTTTACGTTTTTGTTGTGATAGAGAACTCTCTTGGTACTTTTAATACTTATTCTGAATATTTTAAAAATAACATGATTCAAAAAAGTCCAGGGAACAATATTGTTATAACATTAATATAATTACATGTCATAGGATCTTTATTTTTTAAAATACTTGTTTACAAATTATACATTTTATTATTTCTTTTTTTTTTAAGCTTACTAAATAAAATTATTTCAGTAGAAATGACTAAAATAAATGCAATTAAAGGATATGAAATCTTGAAATCTCTGTCACCAAGAAGGTTCAAGATCATGACAATCCCAATGTAAATTAAAATGTATTAAAAAATATTTTGCCATGATACCTTTTATGATGTATAGTGTATATCTTGCTTTCCCTTCAGTGCAGGAAAATATAGATTATATTGAATTGTGCCAGGATTGGTCACCATTCTTATTTATTAATTAAAATATTTCTAAATATTACATTTTGGAAGTAAGAGTGTGTTAATACACACCAACAATATTATATATATATATATATATATATATATATATATATATATATATATATATATATATATAGAGAGAGAGAGAGAGAGAGAGAGAGAGAGAGAGAGAGATTATTAAATACTTAGCATTTTCTTTATTGGTTATGGTCTCTCTTGATTCAAGCTGGCTGTGATTTCACTGCATAATCGTTGTTAATTCTTTAACACATTTTAGCTGTCTTAAAAAAATATGAAAAGTGAAACAAATATTAAATATTTAACTAATAATATAATATCTAAAACATAAATAAATACTGTTTGAAAATTGAAGAAGATTAGCTTTAATATTTTAAAACCATAACCGATGTCTCAATCCTGGTACAATTTTTTATTGTTACAAATAAGTGCCTTCTTATTCTTTTAATGGAAAATAGACTGAGGGTAGGGTGCCATATTTGTGTGCTATTGCCCTATGTTATGAAGGATTGTATGTATAAAATTAAATAAATAAAGACATTGTGTTTTAATTAAGGCTATTTATTTCTTTTAACTTCCTTGAATCCTGGAAACATCAAAATAACAAATTCATCATAAATATTTAGTCATAAACCAGTAATGTGATGACCCTGAAGAAGTACCCTTCGCTTAATTATTGCTGACAAATGAAAATTGGAAAGATACATTGGAAATCTGAAACATCTTAAAATGGTTTTGAAAGATTTTTTTTTTAGGGAAAATAAAATTCAGTTCAGGTAAAATCCTAACTCCTAGTATAGTGTGTTGGATATAATGTCTAAACTAAGCTGTGACTTGTTTATAGGGTCTGAAATTTTCTGTATTAAAGTTCTAATAAAGTGGAATGGAACAGAACTATCCCTTTATCTCACAAATTCATTTCATAAGTACAAGGTGAGGATTCAATATCGTAAAACTTAAGACACTAATTTCAAAATTGTAACAAATGACACAGAAAATGTTACATATTATAAATTTGCTTTCTCACCTCTTGGTTACTTCCTTTCATTGTTAATTTTCATTTAAATTTTTTAAACCAAACTTTTCTTTTCTAAAAGATACATTTAAATTGTTATACAAATCATGCCGGAAAAATTGTCAACTTGATAAGTTTTTAATCATTCCTAATTATTTAGTTATTCTAAAGTTAAGAGGTTTGATTCTATTCCAATCTTTATCATTTTTGGAAAAAGTATTACATTAGTCATTAAAATTGAATTTAATAAGAGTATAGGTATTATATAACAAAACATTTCCAGAAATAAATGATTAAGGAAAAATGAATTGTATAAAAAATGGCAAATCTGAAGTATCCTTATCTAATCTACTTGTTTATACAGAGTGATTAATACTAGTTTCCTTTGAAGAGACACACCACAAGTATCAGGTAAGTTATAAACTTCATTTCATAAATTAATGCTTTAAATACTAATAGTTTGATTTATTTAGCACATCTTTAAACATATTCATATAGTGTAATTTTAAATTTATTTTCAGTCAATTATTTTCTGTACTTGTTTTTGCACAATCATTATCCTGAAGAATAATTACATTTAATAATAAATTTCATTCCAACAATAAATGTCTAGAGAGTTGAGAAAAATAAAATTATAGGTGAAATAATATAGTTCTTAAGTTTATTAAAAATATTTCCAATAAAATAATCCTAACATACTAAAACGCTCAAACAAAATTAGTGATCAAACCATAATTTTAATATAACTGAATTGACATTACATTTACAGACATCAGTTGCATATAATTTCTTTTTAACATAGTCCTCTTAATATGAAATTAAAAGCAGATATTTATAAACTTGCGAAGTTATGGTTACAAATAAACGCACAAATTTATTCATTTCATTCATTCATTCACTAATAAAAGTTTGGAAAAATTCCTTCAAAAAATAATAAATTCAATAACTGTAGATATAACAAAACAAATGTATCAAGTAGGTGTTTTTTAAAAAATAATAGTAAGGCTTAAATAAAACAAACTTTTTAATTGGGAATATACCATCGATAAAGGTGTGAAACTAGCTAAGTCTAAAACTTTTGATTTAGGATTATTTTATTAATTTATTATTAAATAAAGTTTACATGAAAAAAAAATATTGTTAATTCTTTCTAATCAATAGCATGTCACTGTACATGCTCTTTAGACTGCAATATGATAAAAATTTGATTTTTTAACTTTTTTTGTCCCTCTTGGAAAGTTACAATTTGACAGTTACATATTTTCACACTTTTCCCCACAATATATTGTATTCATCCACTAATATTCTTATATCAAATAAATTTAAAAAATTGACGGCTAGATAAGTTCTAAAAATAAAATTCATGTTCTATTGTTTAAGTTTATAAATAACACTCGTCAAAAATGAAAGGGCATAACTCAACATAAGTAGAGTTTTGAATAAAATACAATTACTGTTTTTTAAGAAAATTTTATAACTGCTAGTTAGAAAGTTGTTGCCATAAATTTTAATTATGGAACGTTAGTAAATCTATTCAAATACTCTCACCATAAAAGCTTTTTTAAATTAGGCAAAACGACATGAATAAATCTTTAATAATGAGTCTTATGCATACCTGTGAATCATTTCACAATATAAATAGACTAAACACTGTGCCTTAAAAATATGAGTATTAGCTTAGAACATTATTAAACAAAAATCTTTAAATTTTTAGTGTTTGATAACAAATTGCCAATCCAAAGATAAATAAATTAATGCATTATACGTTCATTCAATCCTAAACAATAACAAAAACATGACCTTTTAATATAAATGTTATAAATATTAAAAAATAAATGCTGTCAAAATTTTCTTCAGATAATTTTATTCAATTTCTTTGCAAACGCTCTCGGACTATTTGGACTATAACAATAACACTTCATGAAAAAATGAGAGAATGAGATATCCTTAAAATACTTTAATGATACCTTCAAGTAAATGACTATACATGGTGTCCCGTAGGTAGAGAGAAATATTTAAAATTTTGATAGTAGACATCAAGATCTACAAAAAAATTTATATAAACAACTGCCTAATTCCATCAGAGAAGTAGCAAACTTAAGATTTGTGTTTTTTTAAGTGAGTGATGTTTTTGTATACGAGTAATATATGTGTTGAACAGGAAGCGATAACTTAAAAAATATTTGATTTAAGTAACTAAACATTGTTCCATAGTAAACTCTAGTTTACTACAAAAATGAAATTAAATGAAAGTTGAGTTTGTAATTGTTAAAACTATTTAAAGAGGACTATTGGGTGAACAAACACAGCTAAGTTCCATTTAAAAAAAAAGTCATATTTTTTTTATTCCCCTTCAATTGTACTACATTTAGTTTTATAAAAACTTCCCCATTTAATAAGCTTAGAGTCAATATTAATTAAGTTGAGGTTTACCATGAAAGTTTTTTAGATTCCTCTCAAGTTGTATAAAGAAATGATGTGATTTTCTAAGCAGTAATCTTAAAGTACCCATGTTTTCTCCAAAAATGACAATTAATTGTTGAAAAGCTTTTTTTTTCTTGTTTTTCCATGATATGCGATGTATTGTAATAAACATAATTCTCTAAAAAACAACTTGTATTTATAAATATAAAAAAATTTACCCTCTAGGGTAGAGGCAAATACAAATACAAATAATCATTTTTTAAATATTTTTCATGTAAAGTTGTTATGAAACTGTTTTTCTCCCAGATCTTCGTCATAGGAATTGATGTCAGTGACAAATTTAATGTTTCTTACTGAAATTTACGTTTAATATAAAGAATCCTACTGATTGCTTCAATTATTTTCATGAGAATTTAAATATTAGGGCCAGAACATTAAGTTTGTCATTTATAAATACGCATCAATTCCTATGACAGAAATTTGAGAGAAAAATACAATTTCATAACCACCTTACTTGAAAAACCATTATTTTTAATTTTTTTATTTTTGTAAATAAAATGCGTTTTTAGGCAATTATGTTGTTTACTATACATATAACGGGAGAACTAGAGATAAAAGCTTTGTAAGAGTCAATTCTAGTCATTTTTGTTGAAAACATAGGTACTTAAAACATAGGTATAATGACGTGACTGCATAGATCATCATCACACCATTTCATTACACAACTTGAGAGAAATCTAAATTTTTTCCCTAATAAATCTCAACTTAATTAATATGGACTTAAAGCTTATGAAACGAGGAAGTTTTCCAGTTGAAAGGTAATGAAAAAAAATCACAAATAATTTATGACTTTTTTCTAAACGGAATAAAGCTGTGTTTATACATTAATATATCATGAATACAAGATTCATAATAAAATAAATGAAAACTGAACGATTCAAAGATTGTATTTTTTTTTTTTCATTGTGTATTATTAAATAAAATTTAAAAAAATAAAATAATGCAATTAAATCATTTATCTATAAACCTTGATAAATTGTATACTTCTATTTTTACAGTGATTCAAATGCAGAGATATTCCAACGAAGATAGCAGTCGAGATTACCCACATCAGCCTTACTCAAGTTACCCTAAACAATCATACCCAGATTATCCTCAACAACAAGCTCAAAGCTATCCACAACCACACCCAAGTTACCCCCAACAACCATACCCAAGTGATCCTAAATCCTATCCAACCTATCCAAATTCACCAGGCTATACTAATCAAGCCTATTCAGCTTCAGATCCTGAGACGAGAACCACAATGTCAGCATCATATGTACCTCCCGGAGGGGAAGACCCAACAGCTAATTTTGATTTTACAGAGAGATCTATTCGATTAGCTTTCATAAGGTAAAGCCATTAAGAAAAATTAGTATGTTAATACTATATTAGTATTAATCAATTATATGAATATTGAAGAAAAAAAAACATAACATATCAGTGTTTTACCAACTTTCAATATTTTTGCTTGAGCCAAAATATGTTAAATAAGTACACATACACAATTACTTTCAATATTTAATTGCTTTTATAATAAACTTTTATGACAGATCTTAATCAGTTTAGCTGTGTCTAAAACAACCTATAATACATGATTAAATTATAGTAATTAATAGCTTGAAATTAAAAAGATCATTAATTATCACAGAGATTAATAATAATCATAAACATAATGAATTCTTATAAACATAATTTAATCATTACTACATAACAATAAAATAGTAAGTCTATAACAAGTACATTTGTACAGAATAAGAAAATTGATCTTAGGATTTTTTTAAACAAGTTAGTTTTATATGTATGTTATAATCAAATATTTGCTTTCGCAGAGTATGATAAATTAAACTAAAAATGAGACTAGCATTAAGAGAATAGAGTAGAAAACCTACTTTATTCTGGGACTAGGTCTGAGAATATTATAACAGATGTTATTTTATCAGTATTATTTGTTTTTATGTTATAAAGAAAAAAGATGATAATTAGATTCATTTAAGGAGAACCTTTCTCATCATTAGATATATTAAAAAATCAAAAGTTTTTATTGTTGAGAAATTCAGTTATTACCTGAGAAATTCAATATTTTAATAAACTAACTGTAATAACAAAAAAAAAGCTGAAGGAGAAAAAGAAAGAGAACTAGTATCACCTTTTTCTTTTCTTTAAATCTAGCAAGATAGTCAACAACGCCTTTGCTTACTCTAACTCACCAGACACTTGTAAGATAATTTGAGCTTATATTTAAGTAACATCTTTATGGTGCATATAGCTATTTACTTTAGATATATATATTTTAACAGAATACACAGTAAAATAGTAATAAAACTTATTTTCTCAGGAAAGTTTACAGTATACTAACACTTCAGCTGTTGATTACTGTTGGATTCATAGCTGTATTCATATTTAGTCCTAAAGTTCAGAACTACTTTGCTCAAAACCCAATCTATTTGTAAGTATAATCTATTAATATCTATTTGTAACATCAATAGCTCTCATATCTCAATAATAACTTGAGATATCAATTAATAATTGTTTTATTTATAATTCACAAATTATATTCAAGTATAGATAATAAAAAATATGAATTTTTTTGGCTTTTGTAAATGAAATCACTTAAATTAAAAGGCAACCAACCCAATGTTTTGTTATTTATGGTGCTCATTGCTTTCAAAAGGTTGTTGAACCCTGGCTGGTATGATTGGTTATATAGGATCTTCCAAAATTAACACAAGATTTAAATTAAATACAAAACATTTCTTTCTTCTTCTGTTTCTTAGTCAAATAAACAGCGGATTGTTTAGGATAAATAAAAATGGAGCGTTATATGAGCAAACAATGAGTTTTCATTGTTGAAAAATATTTTTAAAATAATAAAAGTCTTGCAGCAGCAGTTCGAAAATTTTGTACAAAATATGGTCGAAATAGTGATTTAACTTTATCAACTGTAAAGAGAATGGTAGAGAAAGTCCAGCAGACTGGATCAATTGGTGATGTTAAAAAACACTGGTCGTCCAAAAAACACGCCGCTAAAGTGTAAATATTGAAGAAAGACAATTGAGCATAGGGCTAAGAACCCCATTTCCTAAAAACCTTCTTGTAACAAAATCTAAAACAAGCCTCAGAAAATCTGACTGTCTTAAGATGGTAACTACCCTGGCTTTGTATCACCAACTATATACAGGATCACGGAATGTTATGTATCAGCTATTGCAGATCACGAGATGTCTGCGAAACAAATTATAATTCAAACCACACTCTGATTAGAATCCAACTATTTTCGAGGTTGAAGCAAATCTACAAAACAAGGAATCAAGAGGAAAGAGAGAGGTACGATATCCATAATTTAAAAAATCCTTAAGAAATACCAAATTTCACTTTGAACTGAAGAATAAATTCAAACCCTAGGACTCAGAAGGGCTTCATGGTCGACCGACACTGGGAGGTATTAGAGACAGAGCTGAAAAATACAGCTAAGGAAATAAGTAGTCAGGAGAAATAAAAGTCAAGAAGTGGTTCAAAAAGCATGCAAACAGGCAGTAGACAAAAAAAAAAATTACATTAGAAAAGATTAAGGTAAGAGCCAAAAGGTTAAGATATAGAGCCGAATATACAAATGCAAGGAAACTGGAAATCTGACGACATCATCAATAGAAAAGATCCTATGCATTTGGAAAGAGCATTTCAAACGGCTTCTCAATCAAGAGTAGCCAACAAAGAAAGAAGACATGGGCAACACCAGGCATAGACAACCTACTATCTGAGTTAGTTAAAGATAGGAGAGAAGATTTAAGAGCCAAGCTATTACAACTAATCCAGAAAATATTGGAAGAGGAAGGGATACTAGATGATATAGCTGTACTTAGCAGCAATCAAGAGTGTATTTAGGGACTCTCTAAGACTCTGCTAGACTCTACAAGAGAATCAGAGCAAATCTGCTTACAAATAAATGAAAATAAAATAAAATATGATAGTTGCCAAGAAATTTGTCCCATCAACATGTTTTTTGGAACTAAAATCATACATTTATGCAACCATACCATACCGTAATTCTGTCCATAGACTTTAAAAATTAATTTTTTCAATGAAGAATTACTTGAAATATGGTGGCTTTGAGCCAATCACACCTTCTACAATTAGTATTTTGTCTTCTTCTACATGTGATAAGGTTTCCAGAAAAGTCACAGCTAGGTATCAGACCCTGAGGACTCAGAATGGGCCTAAGGCTTTAAACTATAGACATTCCTGATGTAGATTAATACAAAAGTTTAATAATATAATTTTTCAGGCTGATTGCAGTGATAGCAGTAATAGTTCTTAGTATCGTATTATGCTGTTGTACAAATGTAAGGAGATCATCGCCTGGAAACTACATTTGTCTCTTAATATTTACTATAGCTATGGGCTTTATGGTTGGAAATATCTCAGTTAGATACGACACTGAGGCGGTAAATACCTAAATATGTCTTAACATAATTATATTATATAATATAAACTTTAATAAGACTTTTAAAAACATTGAAAAAAAAATTCAATACTTGTTTCAAGAATCTAGCAAAGCTTGCTGAAGTAATGTCAATCATTCTTCATGAAAAGTAAAGCAAATTGTACAGTCTTTACCATAATTGTTTTAATGAAATTCGTGGATTTTAACAGATCATTTTCGGTTAAATAACAGGTCAAACAAATAGTTGTAATTGTTCTGTTACCATACATAATAGGTCTGTTCCAAAGCAAGTTTTAACCATTACCAAACTGTCAACCACATGTGCAACATAGATTATTCTATCCTCAAATATGCATGCCCTTTGGGTGGAAAAACCATATGCAATATGCGACTGACAGTTTGCTGATAATCAAAACTCATATTCAAACATACCTAATTCAGGTATGTTGAAATATCAGTTATATTAATTATTTTTCCTTCTTCTAAAATATTAGGAGACAAGAAAAAACTAATAAAATGACTTTATTTGCTTGCTTATAATTGACTGTTGGTGGAAATAATTTATTCTCTTTTGTGAGGAATAGCATAAAAAAAAAAAAAATTAGACTCCTGACTAATTATTATTTATAAATTGATCTTTATTAATAAACCTTTTACATAACTGATGCAATATGGATCATTTTATAAACTTTATTCTCTTAATTGGCACCGAAACAGTTTCCTAATAAATGGTTTTCAAAGTAGAATTAAAAAAAAAAATGTTTTATTCCCAAAATAGATTAACAAAATTAATAACAGATAAAACTAAATAGCTACAGTTGAGGTACTATATGAATATTTGTATATATATCACTACTATATTAACTTTTCTGCCAATAATTGTGATCATATCACCCATTATAATTACATTTTACTTTATTTATATCAATTATATGGTTAAAATTTATAACTATGGATTGATTGTTGATGGTAGCGAATAATTGAAGAGAAGAATGGTTGGGGTGATCAGTCAAAATAATAGTAAAAATAAATAAGTATATTTATTTTTATTTTTGCCGAAGTTTTGGTACTAAGTTCAGGCCCTCATCAGGGCTGGTCAAACGAAGTCTGACCAGAGGCTCGTCTTGCGACATCCTTTGTTTGAGCAGCCCTGAACTTTGGGCCGAAAGGTCTGCAAATATAAAAATAAAAAATCTCTTCGGTTAAAATTTATAGTTCACTTAATGCAATAAAGGTCATTAAATATTTTACCACAAATGTTTAACCTTCTGCTTTCAGTTATTATTTGTATTAACTTAAAATAAGTTTTTTTTTATATTATAAAATAAATATAAAAATAATTGTTTTTTCAGGTCATTCTAGCAGCTGGGTTAACAGCAGGTATCACTCTGGGACTTACGCTATTTTCATTTCAAACAAAGATAGATTTCACTTCTTGGGGTGGTGCACTATTCGCTCTTCTCTTAGTGCTGATAATTGGAGGAATATTCTCAGCAATTTTCCCATCAAAAATAGGGGATGTGCTCATCGGGAGCTTTGGAGCAGTCTTAATGTCACTTTACATCATCTATGATACCCAACTAATGATGGGAGGTGAACATAAATATTCAATTTCACCTGAAGAGTACATTTTTGCATCTCTCAATTTGTATTTAGATATCATTAATCTCTTTCTGTATATTTTACGCCTGATCGGAGGAAGGAGTTAAGCTTAATCGATGAAAAATGTTTTATTTGGTATTAGATAAGGTAAAATATCAAGTATTTTTTAATTTATAATAGATTTTGCCAGAATATGTTACAGCGTGCGTGTTGTCATAGTTACAGATTATAATGACTGATATTTTTGCTAATTTTTATCCTAATATAATGATGCAACATGCATAATTCTATTTCATTTTTTAAAATCTTACTAGATTATTTAATAATCTGTTATCTTTATTTATGAAATAAAGGTAGCTCATTTCTTTTAATCTTATGGAATAATGCAAAGTGAAATGTGTGAAAATAAACGTGAAAGATGGAGATGTAGCACATTTTTTTTAGAAAAGAGAAATGAAATCCAACATGAACATTAATAACATTCTATAGCATCTTATTTGTTATTGTTAAAAGAAAGTAATATAATGGGGTTCTACAAAAATAAGGCATGAACTAAGAATAGAAAATATAAGAGACTATTTGAGTTGATACTCATTTAAGCACTTCATAACAAAGCCGAGATCTAAATGATTAAGATTCTTTAATAGTAAAAAATTCATGATTCGGAACCAAAATAATTAGTAAAGAAATTACCTTTTCTCTCATGGTTACAAGAAACAGTATTTAAAATGATATGTATATCTATATTTATTATATAACCAACTAACTCCGTGGCGCTACAGACCCGTGTGTGTGTTCCTTGGCCGCCTCAATGAGCCCTCGCCATATTGCTCTATCTTGCATTTATTATATTAACACCCATATGAGACTTAACATAAATGTAACGGTCACAAATACTTATAAATACAAATATAGACAGCAAAGGTAGTACATGGTTCCAATCTTTCCTATCACAACGCACCCAAGCAGTCTCCATTCCTAATCAACCACTATCTGCCTACCTGCCTTTATCCTCTGGAGTCGCCCAAGGATCTAGCATATCTCCTCTCCTTTTTAGTTCCTATATCAATGACCTCCATGACTCAATTCTCCATTGTTCCCACCACCTTTATGCAGACGATTCTCAAATATACCTATCCTTTTCTCCCCCTGAGCTATTGGTAGCATTTACTAAGATCCAAGCAGACCTAGATCGAATCTGTGCCTGGGCAAAATTAAACGGATTAAGGTTAAATGCTTCAAAAACTCAGGCCATTGTCATTGGTTCCAAGCCCCTCCTTAGATCCTATACGGACTTTCCCATACTAAACCTTGGCGACCAGCCAATCTCCTTCTACTCCTCTGTAAAAAAATTTAGGACTATTTATTGATCAAACCCTCTCCTGGAGTCACCATATTTCTCACATCTCCCGACGGACAGTCTCTACCCTCAAACTATTCCATTGCTTCCGCCATCTCCTACCTCAACATACGCGCAGACTCCTCGTTTCCTCTCTCATCTTCCCCCACTTTGACTACTGCTGTGTGGTGTATGATGGACTCTCGGTGGAGCTCCGCGACAGACTGAAAAGAATAATGAACAGTTGCGTGAGATTTGTAATTGGTGCCCCGAGATACTACCATGTCTCTCACCATTACACTGAGTTAGAGTGGCTCTTCCCCTCCATTCGAAGACAATATTTCCTAGGTACATTCCTCTATCATATCATCAACAATCATCGTCCTTCCTACGCCTACAACCTTCTCCAATTCAAGTCCTCAGTCCACTCCCTCTCCACAAGATCTCGACCTTCCGACCTTTACATTCCTTCTCACAGATCTGCCTCGTTCCAAAACTCCTTTATTGCACGTTCTGTTAGTTTCTGGAATTCCCTTCCAATCAAAATTCGACATTCTTCATCCTTATCTACATTCAAAACCCTCCTATTCCAATTCCTGTCCCAAAAACAGTCAGGCACCAGCTAATCTTTTATGTAAAATTACACATTATATATAAGACCATATTCACATATAGCTCATGACCTGAATACTTATTATAGATTCGACTTTCTTTTTCTCTTTTTTTTTTTTTTTTTTTTCTGTTTCAACAGAAACAGATTTTACTGTTAAGAAGAATATACATTTATTTTTTCTGTATTTTTTATTTTTTCTAAAAGGGTTTATTTATATTTTAACATCGTACATAGTTTTAAATATCTTAGTATGGTTTCAAGAGTTTTTTATATAGATTTTTATATTTTATTTTGTATATAGTATGTATAACCAATATTTTTTTCTTTTCTTTTCTTTAATGACTTATCATTATCTTAATTTGTTATGTTTGTTTTTATCTGGCCAGATGTAAAATTTTAATTTCTGTACTTTTTTGTTATTCTGAAGGGACTTCGTCCCAGAATAAAATTATTTTTCTATTCTATTCTATTCTACATGCTTGGTGAACTGCTTATAAGATCTTATTCCATTTATTTATTTATAGAGAATAACTTTGTATTATGTTAATTTGATGACTTTTATATAAATATTTTGATAATAACATAAAACAATATATTGTATACATGTATTTTAAGTAAATTAAATAAATGTATTACATGTTATTTTTAGTTGTTTTTTTAAAAAAATATATTTTTACATAAGACTTTTTGATTTTATAAAATCATTCAATTTAAAAACAAACAAGACAGAAATGTTTACTAACTTAATTACTATTTTTAATATCTTGCTGGAATGGATGGTGTATTATAAATCAAGTATATGATTGTTAAAGATGTCAGGTTTGCTGCCAATTAGAAAAGCTTTGTCTCTATAATGTACCACCCAGATCAGATCATAACTTGGCAGTCAACTAGGCTCGAGTGCTTCAAAATCCAAAACATAATAGATTTAGGAAAAGTTCACTTCATTAGCCTTTATTGGTTGACCCCATTTCATACATTAGCCATACTAAAAATATAAAATTATTAATGCAATATATTTCACTGTTCTTAGTAGAGAAATAAAACTACATCATTAAAGCCAGAGACAAATAAAAAAAATTATTAAACTATGATAAAATAATTTAAGGTAATATGTTTTACCCAATAGTAAACTCATCCAAGAAATAATTTTAGCAGCATACACTCCTCCCAGAAAAGTACAATAAAATAGTTTTTAAACAATTAAACAGTGTCTCTTTTAAAAGTTCATATTTATATAAAAATTCAATTAATTTTCATGGAAATTTATTTTTCTATTCAATTTTTGCAGAGGTAAACGTATTTAATTATGACACTTGTTCATTAGATTTTTATTACTCTCTATTAACTTCTATGACTTTATATATTTAATATTATTTTTTCTAAAATTCTTAGTTACATATATATATCTTTATTCTTATTTCTATTAGTTCTTTTTAAACTGCACAAACTTTTTTAAAAAGTTAATTATCACTTTCTTTCATAGTCGATATTGAACCATTTTTAAATTTTTTTTTATTGAAACTACGAGAGAGAATTAATTATTTCAAATAAAACAAATTAAAGGTACTTTGGAGAAAGACATTTTGAAAATTCTACATTTAATTCCATTCACAGTATTTCAATAAAGATGAGTATTGCAAAAATGTGTAAAATTGGTGTTATAAAGTGGTTCTGGTGGTGAGTCAATTTTAGTGAAATAATTGCTGTAACACTTTAGGCCCATAACCACCTTAAACACAAAAGCTCAGTTTTGTGTGACTTTTCATTTTTGAGCTAAGCTGCTCACAGATCATTTTGCGAGACTTAGTTATTTGTACTCAAGGGAGCTCTAATAAACTTGGATTCCTAATTTTTCACATTTACAATATTTTTCCTTCCTATGTACTTCTTATATAGATGAGTGAAAGCAAAAATAATTGAAGCCATGAAAAATGAATAAAATTAAATCATTAACTATCCCTGTATTATTCTTTCATGTTATAACAAAATTATATACGTATTTTAAATTTTATTTATTAATACAATATACAATTAAATACAATATTTTAAAACAAGTTGATAATTAATACAATATATACATATCTTTTAATGATATAAACAAAGTGAATATACATACAGATAAGATTATAGTCAGTCATGAATTTTAAAAAACACCGATGAGAATGATAGCAAGAAACAGGACAAAGATGATCAGCCAATATCCTGAAAAAATAAAATATAATGATATACATATATGTCATCCAACTTTTTTAGTCATACAAATATTATATACTAAATGCTATTTTTTTCTTAAATTGTCATATGAATATGGAAAAAGCTTTGTTAAAAGAGATAAAAATAAACCTACCCCATGTACTATCCTTTTCGGTAATCACTCTGACTTGAACATTTTCTCTCTGGATATTTCCTTGGACTGTGTCCATTTGAGTTGAAATATCATCGAGTAAATCTGTAATTCAACAAAACTGGAAATAGCAAATGCAAAAAATTGATAAGCTACTTTCATAACTAATGTTGTATGAAAATAATGATTTTAGAATATTTTATAAACAAATTAAAAACTAATACAATAATATCTTAGAAAACAAAATTAGATTAAATTATTTTCAGTTACTCATGAGATCAAGATGTTCTTTGAGATTTAAGCAACAAATGTATTTTCAATGAAAAAAAAAATTAAGTAAATTAACATAAAATATTCACAAACTATGAAAAGGGTCTCAAGTATTTTAAGAAATAGAGAGTTTAATAATATTAAAGGAAAGTTTGTAAAGATAGGTGACAGCTGACACTAAACTACTCTCACTGCATCAATCAACAGGCTCACAATTATTAATTCTCTTCTAACAGAGAAGGCTCAATAATACTTCAGGAGAATATACAGGTAAGAATTTTAAATCACAGCTACTCTATATCAGACTGCTAACAATCGGAAAGAGAGGGGGTAAATAACTTGAAAGAATTGGGCATTAACAAAACATAATTATTGTTGAATCCATAAAGCAAAAAGGCAAGGAGAATGTAAAAGATAAAGAAAAGTGTAGAAGTTTGTGGAGTTTGAAAACAGAAATAAACTTTTGAAAAGTAAAAGTGTTGCAAAAACGTCACAAGCAGTATGGTAGCATATTGAAGTGCAAACTATGTGCCTATCTCATTTTGAAATTGTTTAGTGATATTTGTAATAATGTAGCTACAAAGTCATGTGTAACATGCTACCAAAACAAACATACTGCTCAATTTGCAAGGGAGGATAGAAAATAAAATAAGGCTAACAGTTATGAATAATACAGAAAATCTAAGAATTGCATTGAACAGAATTGCTCTTTTCAATTATTGGTATAAATGAAATTTAAAAAATAGTTTTCATAACTAATTCAGATCACCTAAATTGTGGTTCAAATATTCTCTGTCGACCAGATTCTTTGGGTATCATTCTTACCAAGTTTTGGCTTTTGCGATGAAAATGACTGGCCAGATGGTTCACAGCTACTTTGACATAGTTTTTAATGGATATAGTGACCACCATTATAGTGGATGACCGAAATTAGCATTTTGATTTCTAAACCAAATGATAGGATACAGAGAAAGTCGCCTCAATTTTGATAAAACCAATTATTTCATTTCTCACTAACCACTCTAACAGTCAAATTCACCACAAGCCACAACATTCTGCAATCAGGAACTATTTTGCTCAAAAAGTCTAAAAGATAAGATTTCGCAAGGGTGGATACAGACATTCTGCACTTGCCATCTCGTTTACAAAAACTTTTCTTACAGTAATGCAACAAATGGTTTATGACAGTTTTATCAACAATTTACCAGAATTACAATAACAACGATATTTTGAATGTGAATGAAATCATCAATTATTAATACTTCTGAAAAAGTAAGAGATTTTCAAGGATGAACACTACAACCATTTCACTGGAAAATGTTGAAACAGGAGTTAATCATTCTCTCAGACAGAAAGTCTCATATGGTACGGTAAGTAAAAAAAAACAAAAGTGAGCATCAGAGTTCAGTGACTAATGTCAAGTAATTAAAAATCATTAGCTGAAGGTCTTACCATTATGTAAATCCACTTCATTCCCTATAGTAATGGCAATATTCTTTTGTCGGCTGATCACTTTAGATAAGTTCTCCAAACCTTTATCTTGTTCTAAAAGCAATAAGAAAAATTAATTCTGAAAGTATATAATTGAATGTCATGCATGACAACAGTCTCAACACATCTTACAAAAAGATAAGTAAGAATGAGGATAGGTCACTAAAAAAAAAAAAAGAAAAAATGTTCTGAATTCAGATAAAAATATAAAAGAAATATGTGCAAAGAAATTTTCCTTGAGAAGCGTCTTGGAAATTGTATCAAAAGCATGAGCCTGATGACACAACTGGCATTAAATATAGAACTATGGATATAAACTTTATCACGGTTAAAATTTTAACAATATAATATTAAAAAATCAACAGACACGAATAACATAGTATTTTTAAAATTTCATACCTAATTACTGCAAAAAAAAAAAAAAGGATGTGCGGCATTTCATCAATGAGGTCATAAAAATTTGAATTCCCAAAAAGGTACTTCCCTTTATACTAACTCAATGCATTCATCAAACCTTCCTAATTGAGTTGGAGGTTGAAAATGCATATGAATGGCCTTATATCAAAGATAAACATCTGTCATTTATAAAAAGTTGTTAAAAAAAATTTTGTAATGTAGATCCAATCTGAACCAAATCTAATGATTTATTTTCATGATTCAACTTGAACCTATCGAACAAAAATTGTCTTTTTCTCCTGTTTCTGAAAATAATGGATATCCGTCTTTGATATAAAGCAACTCATATACATTTTCAACCCTCCAACTCAATCAGGAAGGTTTTGTAAGTAGGGGAGACCATAAAAAACAGGAGACCAATGTTTAAAACGTACCCAGTGATAGTAAAATTTACCCAAACTTTCAACGTATAGTTAAGCAAAGAAAACACTCACACAAGGCAAATTCAGCTCATTTAATCCGAAGGAGGCCATTTAGAGATGGCAAAATGAAGAGGAAAAAAAATATATACATATATCAGAAATTTCTGAAACATTGATAATCTTCTATTTAAGCTTATTATTTATATACTCGATAATGTTTTGGTCTCTATAACGGATAAAAGATCGACCCCTTCCTCCTGTGATGACCTTTGAGAAAAAAAATCTATTACTTTTGAGAAAAATAATATTAAATTAAAATTTAAAAATTCAATGAACTTTGGTCTAAGAAAAGTTATATACAGATTTAATATACCAGCTAAAATTTGACTCTGCTCCTGGCGCATAGTTTCCATCGAAGGCACAAAATCATCAGCAAGTAAAGGTTTATCAGGACTCGAATCATCTAACCAGCTCACACCTCCACTATCTCCAGGAGTATCCAATAACTGGTTTCTATCTTTTTGTTCTTTGCTACAAAAAGTATCACACAACAATGGTTTGAAGATGTATAATAATATAAATTGGCTGTCATTCTGTTGTTTCATGAAACAATGATTATTTTGTCTTAGATACATCTTTGCAGTAGAACAAAAATGTTTTAAATACGACCATAACATAATGAAGTAACAAAATAATAATAACATAATCTCTAGTAAAATACAAAAATTATAAATTCATAACTAAAAAAAAAACAGAGAATATGTTGATTCAATTCCTCAATAAAACTTGAATTGAAATAGTTATTAACATTAATAAAACTAAGTTTTTCTAAGGATGTTAAATTACTGTTTTTTCAAAAAATTAAACAGATAAAAGTAAAAGAGTAAATATTATATAAATATTGAAGCATTGATATTAATCTACAAAACGTAATATTAATATTTTACTAATTAAACCACTATTAATGCAATGCTTCAACTGTTGATCACCAAATAGGATGGCTAGATGAATCTCATCAAAATAACAATGGTTTGAGTCGCTGGTATAAATTAAATCTCATTAATGTTAGATTATTTTATTGCAAAATACAAACCTGACACGAAAATCTTGCGAAAGTTGAATATTTTTGCTTTCTAAATCTTCAACAAGTCTCTGACGCCGCTCTCTCTCTTCTTGAGTGCTAAATTAATTTAAGGAAGCATCCATAGATTTATTATGCTGAACAATGAAACCACAAAGATAAAAGAACTGAACAAATAAACATAAAAGAAAAAGCGATTTAATAAAAATTAATTTGTTCACAAATTTATTTCAAATCTATATTCTTGACATATTATGATATTTATTTTTAGAAAAGCTAGAAAACAAATTAAAATAAATATAAAATCCAAAGATAAATACAGACAAAAATTAAAAGCTTCATTCATAGTTTAAAAATTTAAATTATTTTTAAGACATGAAAATACAAGCATAGTGAAAATATTTATTACGTTGATAATGGTTCCACATGAGCTGTACTCTTGGAAAATTATTCCAAATGAATAAGACTAAAATAAATCATGATATTTTATAATTCTTCAGGGTATGATTTTGTTAGGTTAATATGTAATTGCTCACTAACATTAACAAAGGAGGAACTAAAATTAAAACAAAGTTAGGAAACTTTTCATAAATGTTCGATTTTACACATAATTACTTAAATTTATTAATCACACAAAAAATTAAAACAATGACAATATGGGTTTTATTTAAAAATGAATGCACAAGTAAGTAAAACTAGAATAACTTTTAACTGATCATATTTTGTCGCAATTAAAAAGTTTATTATCAGAAAATCATGACATGTTGCTGAAGATTAGTTTAAAAGCCATGTAGCATTTTAGCATAAATCAGCGTTTGAAAGTATTTTAAAGGATACAGAGAGCTGGAATAAAGCAAATTTCTTCTAAGCTCTTGTACTTCATAATTATACTGTTTTAAGCGAAGTCTGATAGCAGCAGAAGCAGCAGAGAATTTTTCAGAGTTTGTAGGAAATACATTTCTAGCATTTAGCTGTGTAACTATTTCTCGATATAGTTTATCACAAGATTCATGCTCTGTTAACCTAATTCAGTAAAAAAAATAAATTAAAAAAAATGATATTAATACTACAGATGTAAAACTTGATAGAGAATTAATGGAAATTTCAAAATTAAACATACCAGGGATCATTCCCTGTATCAAGCTGAACTAGAGCCATTTGTTAATTGAAAATGTCATCAATGCATTCACATTAGACTGCTATCAAGAGCTTTACAAAAGAAAAAAAATTATTCCCCCTACTGATAACATAACCTCAACAAACAAAGCGTGATAACAATTGATACAATGTTTAGCAGTCGAACATAAAAATAAAACAATCCTTCAAATAATAAGTAGCAATAAGAATAACTGCTTAATTTTATGTTCAGACAAATCTAAAATGATTTACTGAAGCAAAATTATTCATATACAGCATAGTTCTAAGAGGAAATATTTTTTGATAGATAGAAGGTTAGAAAGAAGGAAAACAATACCTTTAAGTTGATTTTCTTAAATTTTAATCAATTCTACTTTCCTAGAAAAAAAAAAAATGAAGTCCAAAAATAATGTTTGTTAAAAAACACAATATTTATCAAAATGTCTATAAAAAAATATAATACTGAAAATGTTACAATCATAGTAAACTTTAAATTCAAAAGATAAATTGCAGAAATGATGACTGAAAATGAAAGTCCATCAAGCATTTTAGATTAAAAGGGATAAAATTTAAAATTTATAAGAGTTTAAAGTGATAATAACTTGAAACGTACATCCTGCTGTAAATACTATATTTTCACAGACCGTTGTTTAATGATACCTTGTGTATATACGAATAATGTTTTGGGAACAAGGTGGAGTTGGAAATGGTTTTTCTTCAGTTACAAGGGACGTTTGGAAGTCTGAGAAACCTATTCCTGTGACATAGAGGATGCTATTCCCAATTTTTGTGCCAATACGGGTAGAAAACCACATTCTGGCCTGAGTGAACCAGCACTCCTTGCAGGAAAACAGTCAAAAAGACCAGAAGATAGATAAAAATACTTGATACCAGCCAACAGTAGTACGTTACGTCCTCGGCTCAAGAAAACAAAACAAACTAAATCAAATTAAACTTACTATGCTGCAGCTGCAGATGTTAATTGAAAGATATTCACAATAACTTAGAAAAGCTGTTCAATGTTACTTGCACTCCTAAAAAGTGTAGATAAGTCAGGAGTAATCTTACAGTGTATCAAACCATTCTAGCGAATCGAGATTTACTAAGGTCAAGTTCCTAACTCAATGCTGAGCACATCGAAAGCATCGGATCCGAAGACATCTCTTAGGTTGGCCGGCACCGAAAGCTGAGTGGAGTTGGAGTCAGAGGAGGGTCGGCAAACAATTGCTTAGGTTGATCCCAATTTAGTCAGCAACTCGTATTGCATCGGTATTATTCTTATATCCCGTATAATAATATTTTAAAAAAGTAGAAAAGTTGGTCATGTCGAAGTTGAAAAGAAAAATCGAATAAGTTCCCTCACACATTCGATTGAGAATTCTCCAATACCCATTGCACATTTTACACTGAACCAAAATAAAATAATTTGAGAGGTGCTGGGCGAAAGAAAGGATGACACTGAGGAACAAAAGGCACACGGAAAGCATCAAAAACCAAACCTTTGTCGACTCAAAGCGGGGTCGAGTTGATCCTTGCGCACCGTTCAACTGTGCTCAGCATTTGATGGCCCCCCTGTCGTTAAAAACCTTTGATTCGGTTCTGGAAACTGACACAGCTTCGCTCAATTTCGCTTTTGGTGGCCGATTGGCCTTAACGGTACTATGGAAGCTAGCGCAGCGTTCAAGAACGTAGGTTCAGAACGAAATAAAAAACTATCTAGCCAGATTCTAAACAGATCCCAACTTACCGGGAACTCTGAGTTCAATCATGATTTTCCAAAGACAGCAGTTCCTGCCCACAGAATCATAGGCTGCTTTGAAATCGACAGATAGGATATGGACGTCCTGAGCTACTACCCATCGTTTTTCGAGTACTTGTTTTAGGATGAAGATCTGGACTACCTTGTTCCTTCCTTTTCTGAATTTAGTTTGTTGTTCGTCTATTATATTTTCGTAATACGGATATATCAGGTTTAGTACGACATTGGTCATTATCTTATAGGCAACCAGGAGTGCTGTGCCTATGTAATTACTACACTCGTACATGGAACCTTTCTTTAGGATAGGACAGATTAAGCCTGTATTCCACGCCTCAGGTATTCTTTCCTTTTCTCATATTTTCTGAATTAATTCTATTAGCTTTCTACCCTTTCTTTTCTAATGTCTGAGTAAAATTCGCAAGATATCTCCAGGATTTAATTTTGGGAGCTTCAGCCAGAAAGCTTTTGTTTTCATATATATAATACTTTACTTTGGATATATAGATAATTACTTTGGAAAAAAGAAAAAGAAACTATGATGCAGTGCTTAAGTGATTCTTGTAGTAATCCTATTAAATGTAATTACACAAACAATAAAACTCCAAAAGATAACTTTTTTTCCCCATAAAACAAGATTATATTTTACCATTTTGGGGAAGAGAGCTTCAGACCAAAAGCTCCTCTCTCCCCATATCGTGGATCCACCTATGTTAATATGTCAAAAAAAAAACAAGATAGAACTTTACAGGAAATGAAGCTATTGCTGGATGGTAGGAAATATTGAAGCAGTGACAAATTATTAAAGTGCTATTTTTATAGGCGGTCTAATATCAATCAAATATTTTCATAAGTATTGGCCGTAAAAGATTGTATAGCTTATTTAGAATTACTTTTTTTTTAGAGGTACACAAAAATTTATTTAACATCTTAATAAATATTAGCTCTTTGTGATAACTTATCAGGTATCATTTAAACTTGGATTCAACAAGTTATCTTGTGCCTTAAGTTATATAATAAACCGTGCAATACTATAATGGAATTCGCTGGCAAAGTTGTCTTAATTACGGGCTCTAGCTCCGGAATAGGAGCAGAAACAGCAGTCAGGTTTGCTAAATTAGGAGCAGAGCTTGTTTTGGCTGGTAGAAACGTAGCAGCTCTTGAGAAAGTGGCAAAATCTTGCAAAGATTTGAATAAAAAGGACGCTCTGGTTATCAACGGTAATATAGAAGACGAAGAGCATGTAAAAAATTTAGTTGAATGTACTATTAAACAGTTTGATCGCCTTGATGTTCTAGTCAATGGTGCTGGTATCTTGGAATTGGGTAGCATTGAAAATACATCTCTTGAACAGTATGACAAAATTTTTAATATCAATGTTAGATCTGTTTATAATCTCACAATGCAGGCTGTACCTCATTTAGTGAAAACCAAAGGAAACATTGTTAATATTTCAAGTGTCAACGGAATTCGTTCCTTTCCGAATGTTTTGGCTTACAATATGTCAAAAGCCGCTATAGAACAGTTTACCAAATGCGTAGCTTTAGAACTTGCCCCAAAACAAGTCAGGGTAAATGCAGTGAGTCCAGGTGTTATAATAACAGAACTGCAGAAAAGAGGAGGATTGAATGAAACAGCATATGCAGAATTTTTAGAGCGAAGTAAAGCAACACATGCATTGGGGAGACCTGGGGAACCAGAGGAAGTAGCTGATGTAATTACTTTTCTAGCAAGTGAAAAAGCATCTTTTATTACTGGCGTTAGTATTCCAGTTGATGGTGGGAGACATGCTATGTGTCCTCGATAGATCTCTCTTATTTTTTTTTAATAAAACCTCTTGTATTATTGTTTTATAAATATTAAATTAAATAATACAAATAAATATTTAATTAACTGTTTTATGTGGAGTGTGTACTGTTAGACATTTGAAATTTAGTAACATTACATTAGTTTTCACACATACTTTTCAGTTTATGCTTGGAATTTATATTTTATATGAAAGAACAAACGCATTTTCTTTGGCTTTATGGTATCTAGCCCATATCATCTAAAATACATCAATCAATGCTAATGGATAATTTAAAGTTGACAAATAATTTGAGAAAAAATGTATAAAGGTACACAAAATTGTATTTAACATCTAATAAATATTAGCTCTTTGTGATAGCTTATCAGATATCATTTAAACTTGGATTCAATATTTCAACAAGTTATCTTGTTATTTAACTATGTGGTAAAATTGATGACAAAATGTCAATTTTACATAATTTTGTTGCTATTTTTGAAAAAATAGCGGTATCAGCTTGGAGGCCAGGCATCTAAAGAAAAAATGTATTGGTTGGTTGTATTAAAATGTATCCAAACAATTGGATTGGTTTGCACTATTTAATTTAATTGTGATGGTCAATGTGTAACAGAATATAAATAAAATATGAAGTCTATATTGCTATAAAGAAGAAAATTATATTTTATTACTTTTAAATGTAATAATAATCGCTACAAAGAAGAAAATTATATTTTATTACTTTTAAATGTAATAATAATCGCTACAAAGAAGAAAATTATATTTTTTTACTTTTAAATTTAATAATATACGAAAATACTCTGACCCACCAAGTGGGTTTTTTCATCATTTATGTATATGTAGATATATAAATATATATATATATATTTTCTACCAGCTATATGTAGAGTTTATAAATAATTAATTGTCTCAAGTTGTTATATCGCTACTGTTAGTATAAAAGGTTATATGTAACAATTTTACATGCTTATTCTATTTGTGGTAAAGGCAACATTTTGTAGTCTGCAACTACGGAAAATAGCAAAGGGAAGAGTAAAATATGAAATTATACCAATAAATTATAAAGAAGTAATAAGTAATTTTATACTCTTGAGAACTAATAACTTTTTTATAAATCTTTCTTATCTTATTATTTATTTTATTTCTCATCTGAGTCCCAACTTTCATATAGATTGCTAATTTTCCCCCCATATATTTCTATGTATTCTATATATCCCTATTGCATCCTTATTTATTCTTTTCTAGCCTTGATCAAGGTGAAATATAAGCACACGTCAGAAAAAGAATCACACTGATTGTGTTTTCTTCCAATGAGGGCCAACAAAATATCCATTATCGGATGGAAGACTATGGTAAAGTCTACAGAAGTGTATGTTCTGATCTTCACACATAAGTGTGTGACGGGGATTATAAACCATGAAAATATAAATAAGATTATGACTTCTATTCGATCTTTGAATAGGGGGTTTATATGTTGCAAATTATGAGAGAAAACAGGAAAAAAAACCTTTTTGCATGTTAACAGTAAGATTCTTTGAAACTAATAATTCATTAGAAAAATAATTGAAAACTGGTTAAGCATTAAATTTTTAATTGATCATCTACCTAATGTTAATAAAGTATGGAAGTAGAGAACACTAGCATTATAAACATTTTAGTAATCTTAATTTAAAAAAAGTCTCATTCTGATATTGTTGTCCACTACCTCATTGAAAATTGAGCAATAAATCATGAAAAGTAA